AGTTTGACTAAGAGTTCTCTTTGTTATTATAAGAATTTGGTTTACAAGTATATTGAGCGCAGAGCAAATCCTTCAGCGGTTAAAAAATGCCGTTTTTTTACTTCAAATTCTGAAAATACTCTCTGTACTCCCCTGCGGATACCAAAAAAAAGATGATTTAAAAGTTTTTGAATAAGAGGAAATGGATAAAAAATATGAGGAAACGGACCTAAAATTTGATGAAACCGATCAACAAAATGAGATTTTTAAAGTTTTTGAAAAAAGCGGAAACGGACCTAAAATTTGAGGAAACTGATCAACAAATTAATATTTTTAAAGTTTTTGAAAAAAAACGGAATTCCGTTTAAAATATGGAAAACGGACCAAAAACTTTGGGAAACCGATCAACAAAATGTGATTTTTAAAGTTTTTGAAAAAAGTGGAAACGGATCAAAAATATGAGGAAACGGACCTACAAATATAAGGAAATTGATCAAAAAAAGAGGAAACCATTCAACTCTAAATATTGGGAAACGGATACAAAATATTCGGAAATCCCTCAACAATTCTGAACTTTAAAGGGATTTCCTCGAATTTCTAAAAAACGGGAATTCCTCAAAAATAATTTTTGATCCGTTTCCGTGTTGAGTCGTTTCCGTGTTGAGTCGTTTCCGTGTTGAGGCGTTTCCATGTCACCCGAATTTGTTAGAACCACGGAAATGTCAAATTAGTTTTGTTTGACATTTTTTAAACTGTAGGCAAAGCTGGGTTCCCAAGCTAGTATTTGGGAATGCAAATATATTTATTATAAATTTCATTAAATTGAAGTTGGTTATGGTTGAGTCATAATTAAATTTTAAATTTTTCATAAACCTTCTTTTGTTTTTTTTTCTATTCGATATTTCTGTTAACAGATTTTGAAATAAACGTTTTTTCACGGACTATAGCACTATAGCACTAGGACTAGCACTATAGCACCTACTTTTCTAAAATGCAAAATAGGCTAAAGTTGGTATTTGATATTTTCCAACTACTTCCCTAGACATGAATCATAGAGAATATTAAATACAAAGAGAATAGAAAGAGTGGACTTAAGTTGAAAAAGTGTAAAACCGCCATTGTGTTGTACTGTTTCCATACTGCAGGTGTATTTCACATATTTGTGCAATATCACCTCCCTGGTCCTGGAACATCTTTTTATAGAAAAAAATAATCTTGAAAATTATCATTTTCTCTAAATAAATTCTCTGCCAACTTACACAACTTTATAAAAGGAAGAAATTCAAAAAATTCAAAATATTAAAAATAATAAAAAATTTTAAATTACAAAAATAATATATTTAAAATTTCCAAAAAATGTTTNACAGTAAAATTTTAAAATAATTACAAAAATAATATATTTAAAATTTCCAAAAAATGTTTAATAATACGAAAAACTGTGATTTTTTTGTAAAACTTTGAGAGGGCGGACTTAACGAGTATATGGTGTATGTTTGTACGTTATTGTTCTATTGTTCTGGTTTCGCTTAGATACCATTTTTGGTAATAAAAAGCGATTTTTAAACGAGATATTTTTTATTATACATTCTCAACATTTTCCCGGCTGGACCGAATGGGCTGATTTTTTTTTGAGGAAACCCACGGGTACCTGGAGGGAAACACGGGCTAAAAAAGATCGATTTTTTTCTTTCAAAAATCTTATTTTTTTAAATTTGATTTTAATGAAAATTCCAGGTGCATTGCGCCGGGCACTTTAGCTAGTTGATTATATTTTACCGGCCCTCCCCCCCCCTACCATTTCTCTCATTATCTCCATGGATTAGAAATTCACAACCATCTTCCCCCATCGCCTAATTCTGGAGGTTACTGTGTACATTTGCCTGAGCTGGGAACTTTAGAATGTGATATCCTTAATCCCGATTTGTTAATTAATTTGAAGATTAAATTCTTGAGGAAAACAAGCAATATTTAATCTGGAGATTAAGAAAAAGAGTGGATCAAGCATTATTCCCGATATCCACCATTCTAAAGTTCCCAGCTCTGGTTAGAGCGTAAAAAAAGTTAATCCCCGTAATTCAGACTGGGCCTCTTAGCTCTTTACGACTCTGGGCCAGGGAGTAAGGAATAGAAACTGACGCGGTTCGCCCTACCTACTCCCTGCTCTGTGTAGAGACGGAAACAGGTTTTTTTACAACATTGTCTTCTCCCCGAGCGTTGAAGTTTCCTCCAGGCATCTAGCTAGGCAGCAGTTGATTAAGTGAAGTTTACAAGCAAACACTTTTTCTACCAGATACAGGGTGTCACTCGAAACATGACAGTTGGTAAGCAGTTTTTAATGTCTTATTCCATTTAAGTTAAGTTGTTTGATACTAAATAAAAATACAAATAAATGGTAGTCGTATTATTATAGTAGATAAAATTAATTTCAAAGTAAAATGTTTTAAAGTAAACGTTTTCCTTTACGAAATTAACTGCAAAAATAAAGTATATAGAATAAGACATTTAAACTATTCACCAACTGACATGTTTCATATTACAGGGTGTCCCACATCATATTGGATCGTCAATCGGTCTATATCACGATTTTCAGGACTATAATCAGAAAATTTAAGAACAATCACTTATTATGAAAAATTAAATAAGGCTAATAGAAGAATATTCTTGCAGAAAATGCTAGGCTTTTTTGAGTATTGTGGGTTATTTTGGTGTTTAAACTTGGAGATAATCTAATATGAAACTCTGTACCTCACATTCACAATGATTAAATTTTGTTTAAAATGAGTCAGGGGGGTAAATTAAATTTAAAAAATTTAAATTATTATATTTTTTTTATAATACATATTGTTTAGTTCAGACTTTTATATTACATTACCTGCAAATTCTCGTTTTGAACTTTTAGAAAACGAATATCAATCGTTTTTGAAAACGATCGTTTTTATTAAAACGATTTGCAACCGTTTTTTATACGATTTTTTATAAAAAAACGATCGTTTAAAAAAAATTTCATTGACAATTATGTTAACGATCGTTAACAAAGGGTCGTCGTTTTGGGAAAAAAAATTACATGCAACTCTATTGAATGTCGTCTTACATGAAGTTAAACAGTTGTGGGGGAGTTAAAACTCCTTGATATTTTCTTGAAAACTACTCAATGATAAGTACAGATTCCCTTCAGGTCGGTTTCCTCTCTTCGTTAACGATCGTTAACGAAGAGTCGTCGTTAATGATCGTTACCGAAGGTTGTCGTTAACGATCGTTAACGATCAGGTCTGTCGTCAACGATCGCTAGCGAAGGGGCGTCGTTAACGATCGTTAACGAAACGACGAATTTTATAAGAAAGATCGTTTTAAAAAACGATCGTTTTACTGGGTTTAAAACTAAACAGCTGGTGATTCATTGGAGGAAGGGATGGCAAAAACACCAATTTGCAATTCCCAAATCTTTTTTTGGAAACACTGTAACAGAGTATACAGAGTACTTCAGGGCACAGGGTACTACAATGTACTGCAAAGTACTGGGCTTTACTGGAGTATTTTGGGGAGGAAGGGGGTACAGGGGGGTACTGTGGCTACTGCAGGGTACTTGGAGGTACTATGGGGTACTTGGGGTGTGGTAATAGTTCACCCAATCACATTTCACCCAAACGTTTCACCCAATTTTAGTTGAAATAACGTTTCAACCAATACTACGTTACACACAAATTATGATTTACCCAACTCATGTTTTTTTTATTCCTCTAACATACATTGCACATGAATTTATTGCCCAATTTCCGATCATAACTCATAACCTCCTGGGCCGATTTGCCTTAAATTTTGATTGGAGAAATCAGGAAAATCATGGGAATCTTCTGAGATATGTTAGCAAATTCTAATCTGAGTGGGTCATAAACTGTTAAAGAACTTTTTTTGGGCACTTCATGCCATTAATGCTGTTAATAATGTAAAAAACCATTAACGACTGTGTCGTTAACAATTTCATTAACAAGTAATTTTTTTTGGCTCTGTTTAAGCCATAAACTGTGTAATTACGGAACTGTTAACGGCTGGAGCGGCTAACATTTGTTAAAAAGTTTTTGTTAACACCATTAATAAAATTGAGATAGTTAACTAACAGTAACTTAAAATAAACGGAAAATACCATCAACAAAACAAAGTTTTGTCCTTACCCTCTAAAACTAACAGCTACCTAAGATGTTATTTTATAAACGGTTGGAACTAACAGTTAACGAAACGGCTTTCAAAAGTTGGGGGCTAAAATGCAAGGGGGTAAAGCCTGAGGCCTAAACATTTTAGAAGTTGATCGAGACTAGGATTTCAAGCGAACGAAACGTGTCGCGCAATATTTCGCAAAAGGCGATGGTGGAGTTGGCACATTGATGTATAATGTGCCAACTCCACCATCCCCTTTTTGCATTAATTTGTTCGCGAAATATTCGCACTATTTTTTTCGCGAAATTTTTGCATTATTTTTTTCGTTTTTACTCTTTCACGAAAATTTCGCATTTTATCGTGAAACGGATTGAAAATTTTCGCGTGTTTTTATAACTTTGAAACAGTTTCTATTAATTTCTCGAGACAGAAACATAAAGCTTCAGTCTTTACCCCCTTTAATTACTTCTATTAAATTTGACCTTGCTTCACAAACACAAACTGGTTGAACTGACAAAAAGGTATAAGTTAGTTGGTGAGGTAAAAGCAAAAGCCAAGGCGTTTGGACACTTTAAGTTGAAGTTGTCATAAATTTGTTGACTAAGGTAGTAAATATACATGAAAATGTACATGTAAATATACATGTAAATGTTCATGTAAATGTACATGTAAATTTACATGTAAATATACATGTAAATGTACATGTAAATATACATGTAAATATACATGTAAATGTACATGTAAATGTACATGTAAATATACATGTAAATGTTCATGTAAATATACATGTAAATGTACATGTACTTGTAAATATACATATAAATGTACATGTACATGTAAATTAACCAATAAATACCAATTTCAGATGTTGAGAACTTGACAGGAATATAAATGAACCAGACAAGTATGCATCTGGAAGAAGAAATGTTAATGTTAATAGATATTTGCACTTTGCAAGCTAATGGGTAAGCAGTAAGCTGCAGTCATTCCTTTATGAAACACAGTTTTATTAAGACGTTTGCAAGATAGCTTTTAAATTTTAAATTTTAATTAAAATTAAATATTAAATTTTAAATTGATATCAAAAAGAAACTTTGCATGAAGTTAACTCACAGAATTTTTCTTAACAGTTAAAGATTTTGGAAGTATAGAAACAAAAATAATTTGAACTAATATTACATTAAAATTTGAAAGGTTAATTAAAATCTAATTGTTGGATAAAATGTTCTTTTTTAGATCAGCTCCATGGTTTATTGGTCACAACAACACTGTAAACAATTGTACTGTAGAGTTCATGAAAAACACTTGGTTCCAGAGTATGTTCCTTACCAACATGTTCTGTATTATAGCAATAGGTAAATCCCAGAGGGCGGAAACGTCATGTGTGTGTGTCTGCACCTATAGAGTGTGTGTAAGGTTACCGTACCAAAGGTGTGTACTGTAGGTTTTGTACAGTATGTATGAATCTTGGTATTTGTACAGTCTAGGAGAGTACATTTGTTCAAATAGATTCTAGTACAATAGATGGCAACGTAGAATTTGTATACTCTCAGTACAGTTGTATTCTGTCGTCACAAGTGTCAATTCAGTTTTAGTGTCCGACAAAATCATCAATAATAGTGATAATTTTAGAATAAAGTGCTTTTCTTACAATAAAATAAGTGCAATTTTATGTGTTCTTTAGTTTCTGTTTTTACACTTTTTTATTTAATCTTGGAAAACATGTCAACTAATGTGAGAAAATTTCGCTTTCCTTGTTATATTTGACACTTGTGACGTCATGTATAATTGGTTAATTTCTCTGTTGCCACCTATTGTACTTGATAATCTATTTGCATTTGTTTATCGTTAATTGTTTACTTAAAAATAAGTTTAAAATGCATGTAATATATTATTTAAGTCAACACTATACAGCCAAACTTTCATGCAAAGAATATAACTTGATTAAAGATTACAATAAATATAGTCGTTATTCAATTATAATTGACAACATTGTTCTTCAATTTCCTTGACTGTAATCATGTTGTGTGTCTATACCAAAAGAGTGTGTGTTAGGTTACCGTACTGGTCTGCGACTAGCTTTCTCATGCCAGACCAGCGCCATTTCCTTTCCCTTTATTCCTATTCTGGTAAATCCCACGAGGCATTACCTTTAGACCTAAGCATATCCACTATACTTAACTTCTTAACTTACTTCGGACCTACGCCACATCTGCTAATACTATACAACACTTACAACCTACTAGCCTGTCCTACCTGCACTCGACCCTCTAGCATGTTCTAGCTTCAGTGCTTGACCCAGAAATTGTTTTAACCTAACCTAACCCTAACCCTTGTTCTGATTTTGCTGTAGGTCGAAAAGTAAGGCGGTCAGAAGTTCAGTAGAGAGGATATTGCGTAACAAAAATGTAACTTTACCATTACAAATATCACCACATGTAATATGTGAATACCATTAGACTTGTATTTGTATAGGAGGCATTGGAAATCTGTTGCTGATTGTATCTGTGATTTATGTATTTTTTAGGTAAGCACATCTGATCTTAAATGTTTTCATTTTGATAAGATAGAATTTATTCTAGATATCCTGCCACCAGATGTAAATATCCTTGGTTGAAGAACCCTTTAACTATTCTTATCCTTCACCTCTCCTTCTGTGATTTCCTCTACTGTATCTTCGGTCTACCATTTCTCATGCTACCTACAATATACGGCTACTTTCCTCTCTCTAAAAGTGTGTGTCATAATACAGCTCTGTTCAGAAATTTGAACGCCTTCGCTGAATTCTCAACCATTGCAGTAATTGCATTACTCAGGTAGCAAACAATAAAAAATCTTTGGTTTAATGGGAGTGACCGGCTATGTAAGGTATAATGTAGCGGGAAAATGATCGGTTGATCTTTCCTGCGATCAGGGGGGATCATGCCCCCCCTCCACCCCTTGTACAGACTTAACTGTTTTAGTTGTGTTTATGTGATAAGTCTAACAAGCCAAACAAGATCTATAAATAACAGAAGCGACGCCTTTGTTCCGTTATTCCGGAGGGCCAGGTGCAGGGGAGGCGGCCGGCCAGCCAGGGGAGCTAGGGTTAAGATCTAGGCTAGGGTGGAGTGAAGCCTCGGGGAAAAGGAGTTAGTTGTGAATCAACCCGTTTGATGAGAGGTTACCCTGAAGATCCACCTCAATCTGATTATTATTCATTTACATCGATCGTATAGTATTTTCTCATTTATTCATGTTTGTATAAAATAATAATAATAAATTGTAAAACCGTCTCGCTGAAAATTTGATAATATGACAACAAGATCTTTAGATGAAAGAGTGAGAGAACATATTGGTTACATTAGAAATCTCCATACAAACCAGCCTACAGGAGAACATTTTAACCTTCCTGGACATGAACTCTACCATCTAAAAGTTAGCGTTCTAGAGAAGGTTTGGGACCACGGAAGAAGTTTACTTGAAGTACGAGAATCTAAATACAGCAGAGATTTTATGACTGAACTCAGAGGAATGAACAGAAAAAAAATAGTGTTATTTAATTGTTAACTGTAATTCAGTATGTTTTTAAAAAAAGAGTTTTTTATGTCCAATTCTTTAAAAGGTTTTAAATACCCCTCCTTAAACAAGCAGTCCCCCCCCCTCCCCCGACTCACGCAAAAGTTCGTTAATTAGATCGACCCCCACCCCAACTCTATATTCACACATCTACACAGTTTGTTTTTAATCTTTGTGAAGAAACAATCTCAAGGAATAATAATTGTCATAAAACATTTTTTTAGAAAGTGAATATTTGCAAATTATCTATTTTCCATCTCATAATCTGAGTTCTTTTCCTTTATGTCCATTTGACAGCCCAAATTTTTATTTTGAATAATCTTTTTGTTTGTTTATCTTCTTGTGATTTTTACATTTTTTTTATTTTTTTATCGATTTTGATGGTCATTATATCGTTAGAACTGACTAGGGTCAACCCAGACCGAAATATATTTTCAATAAATGTGGAACTAACATCTACTTTTTTACTCTACAGAGGTTTGGTCCATCGCCTTGAATTTTTAGCATATACTAGAATAAGTTGAACAGAGTATGTAGTGTTGTGGAAAACTTCTTTCGGATTCATTTGAGACATATTAAACTTTTAAAAGATCTGTAAATCCTGAGTTTGAGCGCAAATTCGACGTTCAAAACTCCTACTTTTGGGGTGGATACGTTTTCAGAATTAGTTTTTTTTTTTAATTATTAAATAACGACGACATAAAATGTAAAAAAGTTCTACAATAAACTACAGACGTCATGTATAGGAACATGTTGAGAAAATAAAGATTAATCTTATCATCGAAAATAAGTAATCTTGTTTAATTATTAGTTTCTATTTTCTCATTATTCACAAAGATTTTCGCAGATTTTCTAAAATTATTATTGAAAAGACGAAATTTGAAGAATTTAAAGAGATCTGCAAATAAATTCAAAAAAGATAAGAAATTCAATATGATAATGAAAACAAAATAATCGATTTTAGCATTGATTTATTGACAAATTTCTTTTGAGAAATATGTTCCTAACCATCTAAATAGATTACTGTATAATTTTTACTTTACTTTTCGATGTCGTTATTTAATAATTAAAAAAAAACTAATTCTGAAAACGTATCCAACCCCTAAGTAGGAGTTTTGAACGTCGAATTTGCGCTCAAACTCAGGATTTACAGATCTTTAAAAAGTTTTATATGTGTCAAATAAATCCGATAGAAGTTTTCCACAACACTGCATACTCAGTTCAACTACCTTACATAGCCGGTCACTCCCTGTAAGATAAGGAGCAGCACACATTTATGAAAGAATTTTTTCAGAAACAGAAGTTTTAATGATTAAAAAACTTTTAAGGGTGATCGGTTTTAGCTTGTTTTAAGATAAATTGTGTTACTATATCATCTAAAGAATAGGTTTCTAAAAATTTAATTTCAGGTTAAAAGGATTGGTAACAGAATGGAGAACATCCTCTCGCCAAAGAGATTGTTTACTGGCCCCCTGTAAAATGGTTTTCTTCTGCTGTTTTACATGGTTTTTAGCCTTCATCCTCCTCTCCCCCACCATATTTGAAACAAAATTTGATTTCGGACAATTTGGATACAATGATATTGGAATCTGTAATGTTGCTCCTGGAGCTTCCTCCGTGGAACATTCTCTGACAGGATTCACGTTCTCTGTAGGATTCCTAGTTCCCTGTGTTTTAATAAATATCTCCTATATAACCATCTTCTGTCTCCTCAAACATAGATCAAATCAAACTACCATTCTAGGGAACATTTCAAAATATTTCAGGCATTTGCCATTTTATGTTGCCCCTTAAAATTCCAAAACAAAGAGAGGGGGATCGAATTTTTTAGATCCAGAAAAATAATTTCTTTGGGATGCCTGCGTAGAGACTTGCAGTTGGTGGGGTATTAAATGTAAGACATGTGGCCGCAGCGCTCGGCCACCTAGCCTGTCCTAGCCGCAGCACTTGGCCCAGAAAGTGTCCTAACTGAACCTAACCCGTGGCCGTAGCGCTCGGCCCAGAAAGTGTCTTAACCTAACCTAACCCTAAATAAATACTAATTTAATTAAATTACTAAATAATGCTAATCCCCCCTCTTTCTGTTTTGGAATTTTACGGGGCATGTGCCCGCAACAGAAAATGGCAAATCCCAATATTTCAATGTAAAGATAAATCTCTTGATTATAATTTCTGAATATTTTTACTGCTACTTTAAAAATGTTCAAAAATTCAGTATAAAAGGGCAAGCTAGAAACAATGCCGGGCAAGTTTTTATGTTTTTCAATCCATTTTCCAATTAAACGTTCAGTTTTAGGTGATAACTTTTGGTAGTTTACGGAAATTACCGCAAATCTTCGAAAACAGAAGCATCCGTTAGTCATTTTAAAATAGAATTTTCATACCCATTGTCTTCAACCTTTGTTTTAACAGGTCTATTCTACGGTTTTTATAGTTGAACAAAAGTTTACCGGAATTTTGGTGAGCCTGCTCGAATGTTGAATTATTTTTGGAATGTTACAGACAGGCAGAGAATCGTTATGGATAAAGTCTCCAAATTGTTATTCATCATATGTATTAGCTATGTTCTATTCTGTGGACAACTTGCACCAATAAGTAAGGTTAACTAGCTCCATTAGGTAGGATAGACAACTAGTTCCATTAGGTAGGGTAGACAACTGGATCCATTAGGTAGGGTAGACAACTAGCTCCATTAGGTAGGCTAGACAACTAGCACCAATAGGAAGGGTAGACAACTAGCTCCATTAGGTAAGGTAGACAACTAGCTCCATTAGGTAGGGTAGACAACTAGCTCCATTAGGTAGTGTAGACAACTAGCTCCATTAGGTAGGATAGACAACTAGTTCCATTAGGTAGGGTAGACAACTAGCTCCATTAGGTAGGCTAGACAACTAGCTCCATTAGGAAGGGTAGACAACTAGCTCCATTAGGTAAGGTAGACAACTAGCTTCATTAGGTATGGTTAACAACTAGCTCCATTAGGTAGGGTAGACAACTAGCTCCATTAGGTAGGGTAGACAACTAGCTCCATTAGGTAGGCAAGACAACTAGCTCCATTAGGTAGGGTAGACAACTAGCTCCATTAGGTAGGCTAGACAATTAGCTCCAATAGGTATGCTAGACAACTAGCTCCATTAGGTAGGCTAGACAACTAACTCCATTAGTTAGGCAAGACAATTAGTACCAATAGGTAGGCTAGACAATTAGCACCAATAGGTAGGCTAGACATCAACCTCTAACAGGTAGGCTAGACAACTAGCACCAATAGGTAGGCTAGACAATTAGCACCAATAGGTAGACTAGACAATTAGCACCAACAGGTAGGCTAGACAACTAGCTCCATTAGGTAGGCAAGACAATTAGTACCAATGGGTAGGCTAGACAATTAGCACCAATAGGTAGGCTAGACATCAACCTCTAACAGGTAGGCTAGACAACTAGCACCAATAGGTAGGCTAGAAAACTAGCACCGATAGGTAGGCTAGACAACTAGCTCCATTAGGTAGGCAAGACAATTAGTACCAATGGGTAGGCAAGACAACTAGCTCCATTAGGTAGGCTAGACAATTAGCTTCATTAGGTAGGCAAGACAACTAGCTCCATTAGGTAGGCAAGACAACTAGCTCCATTAGGAAGGTTAGACAACTAGCACCAACAGGTAGGCAAGACAATTAGTACCATTAGGTAGGCTAGACAACTAGCTCCATTAGGTAGGCAAGAAAACTAGCCCAAATAGGTAGGCTAGACAACTAGCACCAACAGGTAGGCTAGACAACTAGCACCAATAGGTAGGCTAGACATTTAGCACCAATAGGTAGACTAGACAATTAGCACCAATAGGTTGGCTAGACAATTAGCACCAATAGGAAGGCTAGACAATTAGCATCAATAGGTAGGCTAGACAACTAGCACCAATAGGTAGGCTAGACAACTAGCTCCATTAGGTAGGCAAGACAATTAGTACCAATGGGTAGGCAAGACAAATAGCTCCATTAGGTAGGCTAGACAATTAGCTCCATTAGGTAGGCAAGACAACTAGCTCCATTAGGTAGGCAAGACAACTAGCACCAACAGGTAGGCAAGACAATTAGTACCATTAGGTAGGCTAGCCAACTAGCTCCATTAGGTAGGCAAGAAAACTAGCACAAATAGGTAGGCTAGACAATTAGCACCAATAGGTAGACTAGACAATTAGCACCAATAGGTTGGCTAGACAATTAGCACCAATAGGAAGGCTAGACAATTAGCATCAATAGGTAGACTAGAAAATTAGCACCAATAGGTAGGCTAGACAATTAGCACCAATAGGAAGGCTAGACAATTAGCACCAATAGGTAGACTAGACAATTAGCACCAACAGGTAGGCTAGACAACTAGCACCAATAGGTAGGCTAGACAATTAGCACCAATAGGTAGACTAGACAATTAGCACCAACAGGTAGGCTAGACAACTAGCACCAATAGGTAGGCAAGACAACTAGCTCCATTAGGTAGGCAAGACAATTAGTACCAATGGGTAGGTAAGACATCTAGCTCCATTTGGTAGGTAAGACAATTAGCTCCATTAGGTAGGTAAGACAACTAGCTCCATTAGGTAGGTTAAACAACTAGAACCAATAGGAAGGCTAGACAATTAGAACCAATAGTAATTTCCCTTTTTGTTTACCCTTTTTAAGCACAACGCAATAAATAGGTTTTTTGATTTTATTTTGCTTCAATGGAAAGTAGACTTAAATTTAAGTGAATCTTAATTTCAAAAGTCTGATTAAAGGGACTGTAAAGGAAAAATGAAATGGGGTATAGGCTGAAACCTAAGCATTTTAGGAGTTGATCAAAACCCTTGCGAGTTCTATCTGATATTCCTGTTTTGAGAAATTGATAAAAAAAAAACTGTGTCAAATATATTAAAAATTGGTGTATACCAAATTTTGTATAAAATTTGTATGTTTAAACAGATAATATTCAGCAAATACGCAACCAATCTGAAAACAGATAATATTCAGCAAATACGCAACCAATCTGAAAACAGATAATATTCAGCAAATACGCAACCAATCTGAAAACAATTATATCCCAGAGGAGCCTAAGTAACTTAGGTTTGCTCCTATTTTTATTTGATTTTAATAATTTTTCATTTTTGATGTATATAATTGATAATATAATTATTATGTCCGTATCATATTACCAGAGTTCTGGTCACGTGATACAGACACATTTATTATATTGTAGAAGCAATAATTTGAGTCTATATGAAAGTTAAGAATGCTCAAGAATTATGAGGAACAGGAAAACCGGAGTCCATATCAATTATATCTATTAAAAATGAAAAATGAAAATTATAATAGGAGCAAACTTAGGCTTCTCTGGGATATTGTCGTTTTCAGATTGGTTGCGTAGTTCCTGAATATGATTTGTATAAACCTACTACTATTTTTATACAAATTTGGTTTTTTTATCAACCTCTCGAGACAGGAACATCACATAGAACTCGCAAGGGTTTCAATCAACTCCTGTAGCTTAGATTTCAGCCTATACCCCCTTTCATTTATCCTTTACAGTCCCTTTAATACACCCCCTTTCATTTATCCTTTACAGTCCCTTTAAGAATACAAAGGAAAATAGATTACTTCCAATTGTGGGTTTAGTTAAAGTGACTTCTCTTTAGTGTAAATTATTGTGACTGGTGTGAGCTCAATAGCTCGAATTAGGGATAGTTTCATTGATACCCGGAGCTAAATTCAGATTGGATAGTTTCAGTTTAAGTAACCCCTTTAGTCCTCATACGGACCCGGAGCTAATATGGATTGTAAGTAGTCTGGTCTTTAAACAGGACAACGTATTAGTTCTTTTGTATATAGCTATAGTTCGTACAGAAGTGGGGCAGATGATAAATTGCCACTTGTATAACGTGGAGAAATATTTGTCTTTAGAAAACATGCTTTTAAAGCATGTTTGAACGCGTGGAAATCCAAAGCCACCGTTGTCCCAGATTCTAGTTCAATTTCATGCCAATCGGCATGGGGTCGGAAGAAATTTGTTCATTTTTTACTTGTAAATACGTTTTTTTCCTATACTCTGTAAATTTACTCACATCAGCTTTCAGGTTTTAGATTTCCTTCATTTTATACCATCTCTAAATGGTAATATTATCATTTATTTCTGTTTGTTTAGAATGGGCAGATAGAATTATGAAGGGACCTGAAATGGCTTACACCAAAGCTGCTGTGACCCTAGGCTCTTACTCTTGGTATTGGTGGAACTACACAATACATTTTCTAGGTTTATATTCATATCTTTGGTATATTGCACCATAGTTTCATGCAGTAGAAGTAATTATTACCTTTTACTGATAGCACCGATTGAATATTTATATCTCTAATTGGATAATGAGATAGATAGAAATATAGATGTTACCGCCATACAATTTCTATTGGTTTAGAATAAACAACAAACACATGACTGAACCCTGATTGGATCAGGCGCTAATGGACTCGGCATACAGGTCTGATTGCTGAAAGAATCTTTCCCTGCATTCCCTTACTGGCCTAGTCTGACTTGCTTCCTCACTTCCTGGTCTAAATCAGTAAATTGGTAAAAAAGTATAAAATGAAAGTTATGAATATAATTTTTAGTTTTCTCATTTTTCTTCAAGGTAAATCAATCTTTTTTTTAAAGGGAGTGACCGGCAATGTATGGTAAATGAAATGAGAATGCAGTTTTGTGAAGAAATATTTTAGGATTCATTTGAGACCAATCAGTCGTTTTTTTGGTGCATATTTGTTCAGAAAGAGTGCAAATTCAATTTTTATAATCCCCCTTTCTTTGTCCATTCTGGAGAAAGGATTTTGAGAATCGGGTTTTTAAATACTATTCAATAACAACGACGAAAACAGAAACAGAAATTTGTCAATAAATCAATGTTAGGATCAATTATTTCCTTTTCATCATTATTAAAGTTCTTATTCTTTACAAATTTGTTCGCAGATTTCTTCAAATTCTTCAAATCTCGTCTTTTCAATAAAAATTGCAGAAAATCTACAGAAAAGTTTTGTGAACAATGAGACAGTACAGAAACTAATAATTGAATACGTTTAGTTATTTCTGATGATAGGAGTTAATTTTTATTTTCTCAATCTGTTTTTGAACAACTTATTTGTTTACTGTAGAATTTTTTTTACAGTTTTTTAAAAAACCGATTCACAAAATCATCCCTCCAAAATCAAATGATTCAAAAAAAATACTCTACAATACTAAATTCAACTACCATACATTGCCGGTCACTCCCTTCAATATTTGAAAAAATATAATTCTATACCTTTAACACAAAAATAAACCTGTTTTCTATACAAAAATAGCAAAATTTAATTATGTGGCAAATTTTGGTGTACAGTGAATCCCATATATATGAATACATGGCAAGAGTTTTCATAATGTCGTATTACATATTTAAGATCAAATGCCGCGGAAAAATGAGTTTAATATTAATATATTAATTGCATTCATATTTCAGGGGTATCAATTTACTTCGAATTAAAATGAAAAGTAGTTCAGTGGAGTACGAGGGGGCCGTGCCCCCCTCCGCCCCCCTACCCGTGCCCCCCTGAGAGGCTGAGGGGGGCACCCATGGGAGAAGTCTCTTTTAATTTTACATCTGCTTGCATGTTCCTTCCTCAGGCTAGGCAATATACATTCTGCATTACATTGCATTGTACTCACCCAGGGGCTTACGAGGGGGGGGCGAGCCCCCGGCCCCCCTTTCGCGTGCCCTCCCTTCCTCAGGCAATCTACATTCTGCATTGCATTGCATTGCACTCACCCCAACTAAAAGATTAAGAATAAAATAAAATATATTCTGATTCACAACAATACCCTTCAAAGCTATGTCTGATCAAGTATTGCATTAAATATTAATGTTTCCCATTTTGAAAACTGAATATTTTTTTGTTGTAGTTTCTCTACAAAAGTGACTCGCGTATTTCTTGCTTCAGAAACATTAGAGAAATGAAGGTTTCAAACGTACATCGGAAATGGAGGGACGATCTCACGAGGGGAGGAAGGCCAACCACATCAATCTCTAGTCCGAACCACATTTTCATCATTTTCTCGTCCGAACCACATCGAAATCCTCGTCCTTTCAATATTATTTTTTTTAAGTGTCCGATCCTTGAAAATAAATACATTTTTTAAAAATATGGCGACGTTAGGGCATAAACCATGACTAGAATAAAGTTTTCCAAGGATTTTGAGATGTTGGAATCTTCAAATCCACGAGAATGATGTCAAACATTATTTAGGTTAAAAATTGAATCTCTTCTGCCTTCGAAATGGATAACTTTTACAAATAAAAATTTATACCAAAGAATTCGCATGAACATGGTCTTTAATCTTTCCATTTCAACCCATACAAAATAATCATTGATTTCTGATTTATTTACAAATAAGGTATGTTGTCCCCACTAAGAGATCACTACTGCCTGCCGCATGCTTAAAATTATAGAAAAAATAATGTTCAATTTATATTATTCAAATCATTTGCTACAATTAATTGGTCACAACCCTATGAATTCAAACAGTATTTAATCATATAAAAATTGTAAGTCATATTTCTAACCCAAATTCAGCTGAAATATTACAAAAAGTTGTTTACATCGAGTTTGAGAATGTTTTGCGGCATTTCCGCGAAAGAAAGGGCTCTAGATACAGACGCTTTTTTGTAGAACATCGTTTATGGAGCATTTTCATTTTTACACAAATCTAAAATTTAATTGGGAAAATTTGATATTTCATCTATGCCCTAACGTCGCCATATTTTTAAAAAATGTATTTATTTTCAAGGATCGGACACTTAAAAAAAATAATATTAAAAGGACGAGTATTTCGATGTGGTTCGGATGAGAAAATGATGAGAATGTGGTTCGGACTAGAGATTGATGTGGTTGGCCTTCCTCCCCTCATCTCACTCTTGCCCTAAACTAAAAAAGTTTCATTAAAAAATACTTTAATCAATACTGCCTTCAGTGTAAATATATATTTGATATCATAATTTAAAATGCGATATGTGTATAATTAATCCTATGAAAATAAGATAATTTTTTAGAAACGTTTCCATCTATATTTTTCATCCCTTGAAGCTTACACCACAGTATTAAAAGGGATTGCCTGATTTTTTGCCCCCCCCCCCTCTTAAGAAAATTACATAAATAATTTATTATAACGCTTGTAATATGGAAGTGTGTATATGATCGAATAGTTTACATAGTTAAAAAGGGTATCAATATTTTTTTCAAAAAAGGGGTTTTTCAGGGAGGGCACAAAATCAGGCAATCCCTCACAAAATGTGCCCCCCCCCCCCTACACAAATGCTCTCCTACGCCCCTGAAGAAGTTTCTTAAGAATCATTAAAAAACTTATGACGGTCTATGTATTCGTATATCTGGGATTCACTGTATACATTTCTGAAAGAAAATTTTCTTTCTTCACGGCCAGCAGAGCCTGGATGAAGCATAACTTTTCTAACTTTTGATTTTAAAACAAAAATTATTTAACAAAACTATGCGAATCAACGAATTCGGATTATTTTCTTTCATGAAAACCTTTCAAGCGAAAGTTTCCAATTAAACATATAACGTAGTTTTTGTTGCTGGCTGCTAGAAAGTATTTGAATTAATACTAGAAACGAATAAATTTCGGTTTTTATGCCATCCTCGTTTTGCGTAAAAATGTTAAATGCCTTGAATTAGCCTCCAATGGGATTAATATTCATTACAGATCTGTCTATAGATATACAGCCACAGAGAATAGAATATTTATTAGAGTGGAATTTACTATAAAAAAGTGTAAAACGGCCATTTTGTTGTATTGTTTCCATACTGCATGTGTATTGTGTACTTCACATAATTGCGCTATATAACCTTTTGGGCCCTGGAACATCATTTAATATTAAAAGAAAACCAAATTATGAAATAGGCTGCAGGTTTCATAATTGACCAATAATCATTTTACATAGACTCTATGCCTTTCACTTTACAAACGATGATTTTCCGCTATAACTATAAATAAAATGATGTTTTTTATTCCCCTAATTCATTATAAAGTTTATTTAACAGCTTTAAAAATTCGAAATTGAAATGAATAGTCTAGGGAACATACTGTATTAATGCACTCTACTGCATATAATTTGTGAACATTTATATGATTTGTACACTTTGAACTCCCTTTCCAGCTGAGAGGGACTGAGAAAATTCATACCGAGGGAGTGTTTAAATTCCACTCTAATATATATATTCTAATCTCTTTGATTAAAATCATTTATTTGTTATGGAACACTTAAATGCTTGCTTGGTTGTTTCCAGAGATATTTAAAATCGATAGGGTTTATTTTTTTACGACCATGAAGGAAGGTTTATGACTGGTTTAATTGTTAAAAAATCCCCTAAAGAAAACATTAGAATCGGCGAATCTCTTTTTTATGTACTCAGACAAAGAACTGGAATTAAAGTAAAATTTTAAAGGCAAACTGTTAAAAAACCTATAGTTAATTTAAATATGTTCAGGATGTCCAGAAGATCTACTCCATATTTCTGAAAGATCTATTCTATGGACTATTTTTCTGGTTGCGGCCAAGGGGTCAGCATACCAATGTATTAACTGGAGTCAGCAATCAGGGATTTCAAGTGAACAACATTCTCATATTCGGACAACATGAAATCATAAATTCAGTTTCTGTTCATGAAAACAGTATTTGTATCATCAGATCAGAAGGAGGGGGCGAATCATCAACTCAAAAAGTGGAATGTATAAATGAACTAATGGTTGGAGGATCGTATAACCAACTTGAGAAATTAAACGCGGGTAAACTGTTATTTATGTACACCAGTAAAACGTACAGTACACCGTGCACTCCGGGTTTAATTAAACAATCAAAAAAAGAGAATGTTCAAACGATGATAAGACAAGCCAAAATAAATCTTGCGCGAAGTTATACTTTTTAATTTGCTCGAAAGAACTTAAATGGAGTGTCTGGCTAGAATGCAGTATTGTAGTTGAACTGAGAATGTAGTATTGTAGAGAACTTTTCAGAAATCTTTTGAGATCTATAAGAAGTTGAGTAGCTCTTCAAAATCGATTTTAAAAATTCTCTTTGACACCCAGACACTAAGAGACCAAAAATGTAAATTCATGCTGCTGTGATTTTTTTAAATTATTTGTTTATTTGTAAAGATTCTTCTTTTAAATGGCATTGTTAGGCTACTTGTGCACTGTTTATTAGATTTGAGCTGGAACACTTTGATGTGAGCTAAGCGCAGTTTTTTTTATTTATAAATTTCAAACTCTGAATTATTTGTAGATATTACGAGATATAACAAAGATATGCTTTAAATATTATTAAATAAATTTTTTTCTGAATTAAAATTTGTACATCATGACCTTCTAGAGCTGTACAGTCGTTTTATCATATATTATTATCCAAAAATGTTTACTGTAAAAACTGTATTAAAATAGCATTTTTTTTGGCGTCTAAAATTACAAGAAATCCATGTCCGACCAACAATAAAAAAGATATCCATGTTTTTCTGCTGGAAAATTGGTAATTCATAATTGAAGTTTCTCTACAAAGGTGATATGCGGGTTTCTGCCACAGAAACAATGGAAGAATATGTTAGAATAAAACATTTACAAAAAAGATATCTTTCATTATTGTAAACCGGTCATGCCGCAAATAAATTTGAAAATACAACCACAGTACTTTTCAATTTGATTTCCATGTAAAATATATAAAATATGTAAAATATGTATAATTATACAGAAGTGAACATTAAGGTCCT